TGCTCAGCCCCACAGGAGCACCCGCAAATTATGGCTTTTTCTTTATGTTTTTAGGTTTATTTTTTGCTTTTTTGGCAGCAAACTTATCCCTCCAGGTGCCCTGGAGAAAGCAAGAATGTGCAGCGGGGGCTGCCACCCTGCCAGCCCCTCCGCACAGGAGGCAGAGCAGAAGCACTGTGCCAGGGAAGGGACTATGGGCAGGAGCCAAACCTCTACCTCCCGACCCCTTCCCCAGCCGAATTGCCTCGCTGGAGCCAGCGATTTGGGGCACCGGACCCTGCACTGCCCCCCGAGCCATCCCATGGGACATCAGTGCGGAGCCCTGGACGGAGCGGCAGAGAACGGGCACAGCTCAATGCCTTTGTGAACACGTAGTGGCCTGGGATGAGGCGGCCAGGGATGGCCAGGGAAAAAACAAGAATCCTCCAAAATGAGGATAAAGTGGAGCTTTCCTCAAGGGCCTGCGGAGGAAATGGGCCGCATGTCTGCTTGCAACCGAGGGGCCGGTGCAGTGGCTTGGTGTAGCTACGACTCGGGCGCATGGCAGCTTGGCCACTGAGATGAAAGCTTTGGCAAATAACTTACAGAGAAAGGTTGGGGGGCAGCGGGGACCTGTCCTTGCCTCCCAGGCTGGGTGGGTGGCCCAGCACGGCACCAGGCACTTCCAGGGCTCCTCGTGCTGCCGGTGCCAGCTGTGGGACGATGGGAAGGGTGTCACTCCGGTCAGGACCCAGCGTCCACTCTTGGGAGCCGCAGAGAGAGAGGAGGGAGAAGGTGCCCAGGGAAGGAGCACAGTGAGATGCTCGATGCACGGTGGGGACACCTGCTGCAGGACCAGGGGGCCCTGGAGCCCCATCCCAGCGTCCCTCTCCCCAGGCACCACCGGGGTGCGAGGGGCTGCCTCCAGGTCCCAGCATCCCCATTTGCCCCCAGTCAGTGCCAGTGAAGATGCCGGTGCCATGTCCTTCCCCACGGAGAGCACCGGAGCATCCTCGGACTATGCCACTGGCAAACAAGGGACTGGGGCCTGGCTGCAGCTCTGTGCCA